CCTGGGCATGTGACCTCTAATTTAAAGAATAAGAATCTCTCCTTTCCACAAGGGGAGTTTTGTGTGCACTATGGTAAATTATTTGAAGCCCCTATGCCCAATGTGGTATTTTTATGGTAGTGAGCAAACTGTGACTGGGGATAAAACACTATAAAAGAACCCTTATCTCCCTACAAACTGCATTTTTGAAACAGATGATCTCCATGGTGACCATCTAAAGCATAGAGGGGTATGTGATTCCTCATTCAAAAGCGTTAGGTCCCCTCGTTAAAATAAAGATTCACAAGTATCTCTAAGGTAAAAAGAGGGGGAGGTAATGACGTTTAAAGATTCCTTGTCACTCTCTATAAAGCACTGTCTTAATGGACAATGAGGAATGTCTCTAAGCCAAAGATTAACAGTTGTTGCAGATGATACAATGATAACCTGCAATTTAGGGGGAGAAAAAAGACAAAATTATAAAAATAAGCAGTACTTTCTGCATTTGATAAATAGATAGATGGGCATACAGATAGACAGTATAATTGATTGTTGTGTTGGTGTTTTATATTGCTTGCTTTTAAGTTCACAATGGGACGTGAGATCTCGGTTGTAAGTCCAGTAGAAGATGTTGGTAATATTACAAAGTCACTGTAAGCCATAAGTCCTCAACATTTAAAGGGTTACTCCAAACATTTTTTTTTTTTTTAATGTCCTAAGCTGGTCCTACTAACCTAGTTTACACAGGCGTTAAAAATAAAATCTGTCTGCTGACCCCACAGCACTTCAGAAGCACAGCAATTCACTGAAAACGCCCTCGTTTATAAGACCCATCCGGTTTTATAGAGAAACACAAATAGGTCAGGAGACAGTGTACCGGACTTGAAAAGATTGAAAAAAATAAAAAAATGAGTTACTAAGTCTTGCTAACGCGTCCTCTTCACAAGTTAATTGTTGTAAAGAAAAGACTAGGTTTGTCAGAATTAAGAGAATTGCCTTTCTGTTACTTTAACATTTTAATCCGTGGCTTGGATGTACCGGGGGTGCATAACAATTATGTTTGACCCCCCCCCAAAAAAAAGGATACTCTCTCTCCCATTAGAGAATGTAATTTATTTTAATTTTTTTTGTCAATCTGTATTTTATTGAGGCATATTAGATGGGATACAGAATAGAGAGAGGGAAATGTGCATTTAGAAAACAGTACAGGGCTCAATAACAGTGGTATCTAACATTTCCTTAATATTTGTACCTCTTTTTATGTTTTATGGTTTAATGTTGCTTTTGTAAACAGGTTTAGGCAATATGCAATTTAAGTCGCTTAACATTGACTAATTGTAATAGGTTAAGTGAGCAAGTTTTGTATAGGGTGATTTCGCAGGCTCAGTAGTTCCCTGTTGTGTAAAATTAACTCAAATAATAAGAACATGCTAAACTAATAAGTGATTAACTGCTTGCAAATACTGTCGTGCCTATATCCCCGGGCATCCCCCACTGCTATCTGCTATACGTGCAGTGGTATATGAGCAGACTGGCTAACGACCAGGCTCCAGCAAATAAACATCTGTTTGAGCATATTCAATATCAGGTTAGGGAGACGTAGCAAATGAAGGAGAGCAGTCTGCAGTGTGTGGGGGCCGTGTGACATATTAAGAATAACAATAAATCATTACCAACAGCAGTCAAACGTGTGGGCGAAAGTTAAGCAGTGAATTACAGTGAGGAGAAAAGGTTAAAGAGTTCTTTCAGTCCCTTTCTTCCCATGCCTGTTCGTGGCCAGTTGTTGTCAGGGGTAGGAAGGCATGTTGAGTCAGTGCAGTAGTTGTGGGTCGAGGTCCCCCTCCAGCCCTAGGCCTTTATGGAGGGTGGCATCTTCGGACCACTGACTGGAGGGCTCTGAGAGATCGAGGCATTCCCTTGTCGGGTGCAGGTGGAGCCGGTATATCTTCGCCGCCTGCGGCGGGCAGTCCCCCTGCAGGGTGGTTGATGCTGCGGAGGTGGTTTCCTCACGGCCCTCGGCCTCGGCGGGCATTGTGCTTGCGTTGCTGGTTTGGGGTCAGTTGCTGTGCCCGGAGTGGGGCGCCTCTTCCCTTCGTTCCCAACTCCCTTCTTGTGTACTGTCTGCTTGTGTGGTTGTTAGTGATGTACCGAACGGTTCGCCGGCGAACGGTTCCCGGCGAACATAGCATGTTCGCGTT